TCTTCCAAGCTTGTGGTTGTTGGCAAAACTCAGTTCCTTGTTTTAGAAGGACTGAGGCCTCCATTTTCCTGCTGGCCTTCAGCCAAGGACCATTTTCGCTAACTGGATGCTGCTCTCAGACCCTTACCATGTGGCTATGTCTGTAGGCAGTTCACAGAATGACTGCTTCTTCAATGCCAGCAGATGAGCATCTCTCTGGTTTTAAATCTTTCCCTTCAGAAATGGCCTGAATTCTCTCTTAAAGGGCTCACCTGATTATGTCAGGCACACTCAGCATAATCTTTGGCTCAAAGTCAGTGTATTAGGGACCTTATTGTGTAGGACATGTTCAACAGGCAATGTCTGTGTTAGAGTTCTGCCTACCACCATATCTAAGATGCCTTGCTTGGTAAGCAAAGTATAAGACTAACGTGATGCAATTTTCAGCACTTCTCAAAGTGGACCAGATTTAATAACAGCTAAACCCAGTTTTAGAGGGAGGTTTAATGTCTGAGAATCAGTGCTGCTTCCTTTTCATGTAAATAATACTGAGAACATAAGTTTTGAATTAGGAACTTCTAAAAAAGTTAGTTGTTATGGCCCTAATCCTAAATTCACTGTCTGGTCCTTCATCTTTACATGTTTCAACTACTTTTTATGATGATGCTACATGTCTAGTTTATCACTGTTTTAGAAAGTGCTTAAAAGCCAGCAGGTCATAACATAATGTATTTAAATAGTCATTAAAATGATGCTTTAGAGAGCTATTTTTTGACATATTTTAAAGTAAAAGGCAGGCTGCAAAAATTATGTATACTATAATTCCGTATTTATTGGCACTTTAGGTAGGTAGGCAGAAAGAAAAGGAACAAGGGATGGATGGAAGGAAGGAAGGAAAGAAGGAAGGAAGGAAGGAAAAAAGGGAAGAAATACAAGGTATTAATAGCAGTTGGGTGATTTCTTCTTACCTTTATTAAAATCATTTCTTTATAAAAATTACTTGCGTAATAACAATACATAATTGATCACTGAAGAATGTGAAAGCTTGCTCCTGGAGAGAGGAAGAGAAGAAAGAGCATTTTTCATTCAATATAACTATCTTGGCTTTCTGAACTACATATAATACTATAAATACTGGTTTCATAGCTTTTTAAGTTTTGGAAAGGAAGATTAAAATATTATTTTTGTTAATTGAAGAACTGGGATGAAATCAATAAAATGAGATTCACTGAAGACAACTAATGTGGCTCACTAAGGGAGGAATAATTAAGTGCACAAATATAGAATAAGGGAATACTGAACTGTCAATGCTACTACAGGGAAAGATCTCGTGGTTATAAAAAGTGGCTAATAAATTGAATATGAATCAATAATACAATACAGAGTGTTATCTAAAAAAATTAAATGCCATAGAGAACTGGGTTGTATTCATAGACTATTGTACATAAAATGAACCAGAGCTTTAGAGAATGCAAAGAAGCAACTAAGAAAATATATTTTAATAAATGCTGAGGAAAGAGGAAGGATCAGGTGTTTATGGCTTAACTTAATAAAATTTAATTAATGCGTCTGGACCAAAACATTAACATGGAAGTTTAAAAAGATAGAGTCTAGAACAATTAAAATATTCCAAAAAATAAGAAATTTTTCAGCTTTTATGTATAACAGACTGAAAACTTCTAACTTGTGTTCTAATGTTATCAACTGCTGTCTCTTTAAAATTGAGTATCTATCTTATGTTAAATGGGAGGCATAAACATAAAACTAAAATATGCTCATCCTAAATTAATTTCAGACCATGATCCCTCAAAGTATTTAAAGTATGTAATTTTGTGCTTTAAATTCACAATTTCATGAGGATTTATATTTAGTGTTTAAAATACATGCTCTGCTGTATTTCATACCACATAGATTTTTTAAAGACTATTATTATTTATTATTATTTATTTATTATTATTTATTTATTTATTATTTATTATTATTTGACAGAGAGAGAGTGTGAGCAAGCAAGCATGAGCACACAAGTGCGAGGAAGGGCAAAGGGAGAGGGAGAGACAGAACCTTCAGCCGACTCCCCACTTAGGATGGAGCTGGACACAGAGCTGTATCTTACAACACTAAGATCATGACCTGAACCAAAATCAAGAGTCAGATGCTTAACCAACTGAGCCAGCCAGGCACCCCTCATACTAAATAGATTTAAGTGGAAGATTTTATATTCCCTTTGAGAGAACATGTGCCAAAGTGAAAGACCACCACAAATATTTAGGAGTCATATATTAGTAGGTAATTCAACTTGCTAAACAATCTATAGCTGCATTGGCAATGCATATATGTTGTGCATGAAAATTATAAAATTTGGCTAAGCAACTGTTAACATGGTCTCTTGCAGAGAATCAGAAACTATATTATGGCACATCATATTCCTGAAAGCTTTTGCCCACCAAATCCCCCATTCTGCTCTTGTGACCCTAATCAATTTCTTCATTTTCTAATAAACAAAAACATTAGCAGCAACATATTAGAGACCTTAGTCCCTTTCCACAAGAATATACTATGCATATCCTTTCTAGAAAAAGAGTCTGCTTCCTAAAGTAATATGAGAAATAGATCAAGCACAGAATTTGGAGTTAGAAGATGCAATCCTAGCAGCACGAACTCTGTGACTAAAGTAAGTCACAACTCACAATGAGGGTGTAGCACATTGGACATGTAAACTGTCATGAGCATAGAAAAGTGGTTATTATTGCTGCCACTCCATTACTCAAGAATTTATAGCACCTTCCTTTTTATTTTCTTCTTTAATTTTTATTTTTAAAAAAAGTTTTAAAGATTTTATTTATTTGAGAAAGAGAGAGAGAGCAAGCTGAGTCAGGGGGAGGGGCAGAAGGAGAGAGAGAATCCTTAAGCAGACTACTCTCTGAGCAGGAAGCCTGGGGGGACTCAACCCCAGGCCCCTGGGATTATGACCTGAGCTAAAGGCAATCACTTAACTGAGCCACTGAGGCATCCCCTTTAATTTTTAAATTACAAAATAATCCATGCCCAGCCATCTGTCTTGTGTGTATCTTCTATGATGCAAGGTTATCTCTTTTACATTCTTGTGTGATATTCAAGACTTTCAGCCTTTTAAGTCAAATTAACATATATCTGAATTCCTACTGTGTACCATCATTGGTCAGTAGAGAAAAGTTTAAATGTTCCTTTCTCTCTCTTCTTTTTTTTTTAGGTAAGTTTTACACCCAACCTGGGGCTTGAACTCATAACCCCAAGATTAAGAGGCACATGCTCTAAACTGACTAAGCCAGCCAGGCACCCCATAAATGCTCCTCTCTTTGAGGTGGAGCTCATGAGAGTTGTTGAGATAAAATCAGTGATATCAAAATTTCATCAAAAGTTAAATAACAGTTCAACATCTACAGAATAACTTAAGCTGCTAACTATATAGTGCCCTCTCAACATTCCCCAGTCTCTTTTCCTACTCAGTGAAGTCATCTTATTTCTTACCGTTTCCTTTTAATATTCGCTCTCAATTTTGAGAAAGTTAATCTACTTGCCTTTCCAAATATACTGTTTTCATTCTATGTACCTTGGAATCTGACATTTCCACCCCCTTTATCAACTTTGTCACGTATACAAAGTTACCTCTTTAAAAAACCAGCTTATGTATATTACTTATGTGTATAGGGTGTTTTTTGTTGATTGTGTGTGTACCTTTTTGGGGCCCCATTTTTTCCCTAGCTGCATTGTAAGTTCTTGGATAATATAATATCTGGCACTTATAGGTACTTAATACATTTTGATTAGATAAATGAATGAATAAAATGTTGTTAGTCAATTGCTTAATTTTATGATATAACATTTCTGTTATCAATCTTATGATCTTAGTGGAAGAGTGACTAAACACTTACTTAGGGGCTTCTTATGTTCTAATAATTCTGAAGTATTCCTTTGAGGTTAGAGAAAAATTCTTTTGACGGAAGTATGTTTTATTAATTTCTTCTAGGCCCCTCAAGATAATTTAAAAGTTATAAATTTAATGCATTATCATGATAAAGGTTTAGAAAACAAGAAAAATGAAAATCATCTCTAATTCTACTACTCAAAGGAACTAATACTACTAGACTTGTACATCTGATTTTATATACTTTTTTTTTTACCTTCTATTTCATCATAAGCATTTGTCCATGCTATTGGTCTCAGAAGACAGCATTTTTAATGACTACAAATTTCCTTAGTATAAAGATCTAGAATAGATTTTACTATTCCCTCTTACTGAACACTTAATGCTATTCCCATTTCCCTCTCACTTCTCATTTTGTGAATGGGCACTGCAGCAATATCATTGTGCAAAAATCTCTGCCAATGTTTCTATTTCTGTAGGAGAGATTCTTAGAGCTATTACTGAATAAAAAAAGAATTAACATTTTAAAAAGTCTTTTAGGGGTGCCTGGCTGGCTCAGTCAATAGGAGCATGCAACTCTTATTAATCTCAGGGTCATGAGTTTAAGCACCACATTGGGTGTGGAGCCTACTTAAAAAAAAAAAAAATCTTTTAACAGAAACTGCCAAACTGGGTGCCTGGGTGGCTCAATTAGTTAAGCATCTACCTTTGGGCTCAGGCCATGATCCCAGGGCCCTGAGACTGAGTCCTGCGTCGGGCTCCCTGCTCAGTGGGCAGTCGGCTTCTCCATCTCCCTCTGCAGCTCCCCCTGCTTGTTCTCTAATAAAATAGCATCTTAAAAACAAAACAAAACAACACACAGAAAAATCCCTGCCAGATTGCCTTCGAGCATGGACAGTTTAGACTCTTCCTCAGAGAACAGTAAGAATGCATGTTGAACTATATTCTCATCTGGGTCATGGTTTAGCAAAATAAATCCAGCAGAAGGAACTGGGGAATGTGATGTTGAAAAAATAAGAAAAACTTAGCCTTCTTTCTAAAAGCTTGGATATCTTTATTATATTTGTCTAAATATTTAGGTTCTGCTTCCAATAATGTCATTTTCTTTTTTGTCTAGATTTTCTATGCAGTTCATGCCTTTCAAGCACGAAGTGACCATGAACTCAGCCTTCAGGAATACCAAAGAGTCCACATACTTAGATTTTGTGACCTAAGTGGTAATAAAGAGTGGTGGTTAGCTGAAGCTCAGGGGCAGAAAGGTTATGTGCCAGCTAACTACCTTGGGAAGATGACTTATGCTTAAGAAAAGGGGCCCCTGACGTTTGTTTTCTGGCAAGTTATTGATTGACTACCTCATAAAACTTACATTACAAAATCTTGGTCTAGAAGTCAAGAAACCTCCAAACTACATGAACTGATCCTGTATCAAGTTTTAAGGAAGACTGTGGTTCCTAAAAAGATTATTTCAAAGTGTATTTTGAAGAACATGTTGAAGGAAACACCTAAAGAAGCAGCAAAACAAACACCTCAAGCTCAAAAAACAAACTGCTCAAGCTCCAACTATCAACTACTTAAAAGTGGAGATCTTTGAAAGGATAAATGTGTTATTAACATGAAAGGTTGGACTTAAGAATAAGATTTTTTCAATTTATTATGTATTTGCCTCAAATATTTTTTCTATTTCTCTTATTTTCTTTTGCATATGTGCACATATATACTTATATACATATAATCCTATTCATTATATGGTTTATATGTATATATGTATACTATATGATAGATTATATACATATATGCATAAACCAGGGAGTATACTAAATACACATAAGAATAGGAATTAATAGTCAACTAGAAAATCTTTGATGTGGTACATCTCTTTAATGTAAGTTTTGAATTAAAAAAAAACCGGAATAACATTATAACATCTAACATTTACTGAATGCATACTACATGCCAGAAATTGTTCTAAATGTTTAAATAGGGTAACTTTTTTGATGCTCACAACATTATGACAAAACTGTTCACCAGAGAGGTGAAGTAATTTATCCCAAGTCACACTGCTAGTTAAGTGGTAGGCCTGGACTCAAACCTAAGTCTGATTCTGGGGTCCATACTCTTAACCACTATGCTGTACTAACCTTCCAGAAGTGTATACATTCGCTATAGCAAAGCACCTAGTGATACAAATAATGGACATTGATATGGACCATTTTTCTCTCAGGTCCATATTTAAATATTGAGTTCTTCAAAATCAAGGGCTATAAGAACTTTTTATGATGTTAGTCTAGAGAAAATGAAGTATCTAGGTTTATTATTTTTATTTTTTGCTGTTTAAACATTTTTTAAAGCATAATTGTTTAAAAACAATCCTACATGATCACTAATGTTACTTAAATGAAGAGGTATTTTTGGATCGCTCAATCATTTGGATGATGAATGGGGAATGTGTGTTCCATGTTCTGAGCCAAGATGTAAATATTTTTGGTTGCTGATTTGTACTCAAACAAGGCAGGCATTAAGGATAACATTTGCTGAAACACAATGTCCTGGGACACTGAACTTTAATTTGGAAATAGCTCAAAACTGTCTGCTAAGATTTCAGGCATATCTTGTCAAGACATTTTAATTGACTGGTAGATGCTTCTTTAGAACAGCAAAAAGATTATTTGACTTAGTCGTTTTCTTTAAAAACCAAAATAAGGTGGACTTTCAGTGTTCAAATAGAATGTGCTAATAGGACATTAGATTTTAAGATTTGATTGTTACTTTGAAAGATTTCATCTCTATAGTATATAGTTACATATATTACTAGGGAATATAAACAACAAAATGAAGTGGTGCTTTTCAGAGGGCTGTTTAATGCATGTATATGACATGTACAACCCTAGAAATTCATAAGACATCTACATGACAGAAAAATTTGCATTTTAAAATTTTGTTCCTGAAATACTTAATCTAAAGGTGATTTTATAAGGTTTTTTTTTTATAAGGTTTTAATGTTAAGTTGTTTTTGCATAACATTTTCTCATTTTGAGTTTGGATACCAAAAGAAGATTCTCTTTTTTGGATATACAGGGACTTTTTATGTCTTAAATAGTGCTTTGTACCCAATGGTTAAAAATAAGTAAATTCCAGTTTGCCTAAAGAAAAAGGAAATCCAAACTTGCTACTTCTGGTAACTATGAATATACTCAATAACCAAACTAGTGGGGAAATTATATATATGTATATATACACACACACATATACATATGTGTATATATATATATATAGTTACATTTTTGGTATATAAAAGTATATATTTGGGATCCCTGGGTGGCGCAGCGGTTTGGCGCCTGCCTTTGGCCCGGGGCGCGATCCTGGAGACCCGGGATCGAATCCCATGTCGGGCTCCCGGTGCATGGAGCCTGCTTCTCCTTCTGCCTGTGTCTCTGCCTCTCTCTCTCTCTCTCTCTGTGACTATCATAAATAAAATAAAAATTTAAAAAAAAAAAATAAAAGTATATATTTAATATATAACAATATATATATTATGCTTCCCTCAAAATGAAAAATTATGTAAGTAGCACATATCTACTTCTCTGGCTGAAATAAGTGACTAGATGTATATGAGAAGCTTTGTCTACTTGTGTGGTCCTAGGCTTGATGCTTCCTGGCTGACCTTTTTAGAAACCACACCACTAAAATCCTAGCTGCAGTTAACTGCTGAGCAGGTGTTGTAATGAAGCCACCTACTGCAGTCCATCCCTATTGTGAAGAACATATATTACTATAAAACTGTGTTTTTTTGTTGCTATTTTAAAAATTCACCTACATTTCATATGCCACTCTGGCTTTATTTTTTTAACATCATACAATCCCTTCCTTTTCCTCATATGTTGTTGTTATATTTTTGAGGTCAGACATTATTTTGTTGGGCCTAAGGGAAATAAAATCCACAGATAGTTATGGTGTATGTAAGTCTTTAAGAAGTTTAAAAAGATGAAACTATTGGTGACATCATTGGCATTAATAATTTCTTTGTATTTAAAAATTTAAATGTTATTCACAATATAGAATTCTCTGAAATAGGTATTTTTACCAAGAATGAAGGAGAAATTTTTGTGGCTGTTTTTCTTTGTAAAACAAATAAACAAGTGTATGTATACATGTTATATAGTATTTATTTTTAAATATCTATGCTCTAAAGTAATATTATGCACAATGTTTGGAAATTATAAAAAAATCAGTAATACAAAATTAACCATGTGTACTTGAATCATGTGAAAAAGTCACAAAGCTACTAACTGAACATTCCTTGTATTTTAGAAAAATATCCTCTTTGGAGCACTTGGGTGGCTCAGTGAGTTAAGCTTGTCTTCAGCTCAGGTCATGATCCCAGGACTCTGGGATCAGGCTCCCTGCTCAGTGAGGAGCCTGTTTCTCTTTCTCTCTCTCTCTCTGCCCCTCCCTCTGCTCATGCTCCCTAATAAATAATTACATAGTCTTTTCTTGAAAAAGAAAAATACCTTGAGTTTTCATTAGTATAAAATAATTCTATGAACATTGAGCTATGCAGAAGAAAAATAATGCACAATGTTAATCATAAGTATGTAGCATTGCATGAAATACTTTAAGTGCTGATATAGTCCATATTTTGCCTGAAATATAATTTGGACTTTTAGAGATGGCTATTAAGTGCCTGTCACTATTTGTGATGAATAATTCATATGATTTACAAAAATTAGTTATTACTGAAACATGAAATTGAAACTCTTCACTTTTCCCATAGCTTCTTAGATTTTTGTCTATTGCAAAACCTTCTCAGAGCCATATGAATAGAGATGAAATCTTTATATTTGAAGATGGCAAGAAAACTACTTTAATGAAATCCTATTTGCTATAACTATGGCTTCTTAAGGTACTAAACGTACTGCTCAATACTGAATACATCTAGCCCTCACAATATTCAAGCCAAATTAGACATATAAATCTACATTACAGTTGATGAAGAAGTAATTAGATTTCACTGACTGGGAGGACACTAGATTTTACATTATCTGGGGAAATACTCCAATTTATAGAATGTTACTATTTTTAAAGTATAATTTTTTGTTACTTCCCTCCTATATGCACTAAATAATATATATAAAAACTCAGCCATTAAATTATCTGTGATCTACAAAATAATCTAATATAATGCATCTTCACTCCAGGACTACTAGAATTCCAGTTAAGTCTACAGGCAAGATTTGCTTCAGTTTTTCAGGAATACAAATCATACTTTAGCATATACTGGAATTAGATGTTCTTGTTCAAAAATCTAGGGAGTATATTCTTAATAAAGTTTATCCTACTTTAAAAGAAAACTATACAATGGTACGTAAATGTATTTATGGCTTTTTCTAATTGCTTATATAATTTTTATAATTATTGCATTAATATAAATTTATTTTTATAAATGTATCTCCTATATATCCTATGATCACAATATAATTTATAATCCCAGTTACTAATAATCAGTACTACCACATCCTTGTTAAGCATCAGAATCAGAAACCTAACCTTAGAATATTAGATGTCTTCTGTTTTATCTCAATTATCATCTATGTTTTATAGAGGAGGAAACCAAAGATGATACAGCTCATACACAGAGACTGGGATTCAAAATCAGATCTTCTGGGGAATCCCTGGGTGGCTCAGTGGTTTAGCGCCTGCCTTCAGCCTAGGGTGCGATCCTGGAGTCCTGGGATTGAGTCCCGCGTCAGGCTCCCTGCATGGAGCCTGCTTCTCCCTCTATGTCTATCATGAATAAATAAATAATCTTTAAAAAAAAAAAAAAACAGATCTTCTGACTTTAAGTCAGTGGTCATTTAGTTTTGCTTTTGTTTGGTTTTTGTTGAAGCCACTAAAATCCACCAGAAAGCACAATATGTAAAAAGTGCTATTGATCAAATTTCTACTAGAATAGGATTTGAGTTTACAATCCTAAAAGTCTACCATGGTTCACCTACTTATCTTCCAGTCATTGGCATAATAAATATTTATTGAGAAGGGCTGCAGTGGGAATACAATCACGTGCAGGTCAAACAAGATGCTTGTCCTCATACAACTTAAATTCTAGTGCAGGGGGAAAAAAAACAACTATGTATAATAAAATAAATTAAATGATAAGTACTATTAATATAAAGCTGTCTACTTTCATACATGTTCAGTTAAAAAGCTTTATAGTTCACTTAAGTATGGAAAGATCAAGATCTAAGATCTACCTGAAGACAAACTCTAATATAAAAGTACCTGTATAAAATACCAAACTGCATTATATACATTACTCTAGATATATGCATACTTACATATATACAGGTTCCAAATATATATTTATACACACATATAATCTATACAAAGAGCCAAGCTCAATGAAACACAACTTCCTAAAAAGTCATCTAACTTCCTCTCTGAAATACTGCAGAAATTAAAAGTTCCTTCTCTTTCAACTCTATCCAGCACATATGTTCTGTGATGGGATAAAATTTTTCACTTCAAGTGTTAATGTGCAAACTGTGCATTACTGTGTTAGTATCTCAGAGGTACTGAGGTCACATGAACTGTTAGTTCTTGAGCTGAGTTTGTATCAGATCATTTTGTCCAGCTTAGTCCAAACTGGCCCTCAACTATAAAACTATCATAAAAAATAATGATGATTTTATGGGTTGTTTTTGGTTCTTTGAGCCTAAAGAAGATTTGAGGTTCATGCTAAATGATGTTTAAAACCTTTGTTTCTCATCACACAAACATTTGTAGGTAGATTTTAAACATGTAAATAGATGTTTACTCCACATGCAAACAATGGGATTATCTCAATCCAGAATTCTATTTTACTATGAATAATTTAGTGTCATTATTTAAGGGTGGTTTAAAATAGTATCTTTCCTTAGAAAAAGACCAAGTTTATTTAAACAGCTTTATCTTCACAGAAATCTTTTATTTCTCAATTTATTTTAGAAGATGTTAGAAAAATTTATTAAGGGAAAGGGCTTGAGATTAGAGGTTTATAAAGATTCAGTAGCACACATCAAAGTTGAAGCAATAAGGCTGTTCATTGTCTAACGAATGTAGGAATTTTCTGAACTTCTAGTTTCTGGATGAAATGAGGTATTCATGAGGTACAAAATGGCTGTTTTTTTTTTTTTTTTTTTTTTTACTGTAGTGCTAAACTGTTTCTCTGGTCCAGAAAGCCTCATTTCTTCTGTCAGAGACTATATGTAAAACAGTGGTAGAATAATTTGTTAATTTACCAAAAAGGTTACAACTCAGACCCCTCAGATTTTATGATTCAACATAAACATAAACATAACAGACATATTTCAAAACAATTTCAAGATTTAATCATGATATAGGAGCTTTTTTAGACAAAGTCAACTAAAATTAAAATACTATAACACTTTTGGGCAGTAAAAATAAAGCAGCCTTTTTTTTATGATACAGGAAGAAGCTATCAGTATGTAAACAAGTCAGAAATTATACATCCACAAAAATTCTTGGAATGGGTATTTTGCTCAAGAATTCTCAGGAATGTGTATAACCAGGATAAGTAAAAACTTAACATTTTTAGGAACATACTATGTTTGTATGTTAGACTGGCAATGTGAGGAACAGTAGGTAACGGGAGAAAAGTACTGCATTATGGGAGTTTGCAATCTATTGGAAGAGATAGACCCCTAAATAACTGTTATGAAGTGATAAGAAAGGTAAAAATACAGAAATGTGAGAAATAAATTATTTAAAATTAATTTTGAAAATAGGGAGATGAAATATTTGAGGGGAGAGGGAGGATCAATCAATATGAGGCCAGGGACTAACACTGAATATCTGGAATATTGGGGGGAAAGCATAAAACTACATTGGGTCATTCCTGCCACTTTGTAAGGCACTTTATTCAGCAGGAGTAATTCTTGGGACTTTGCTAGTAGATGCACTATTTCTTTTTTATAAAATTCATGTATGCTACCAGTGTCTTGGGATTCCAGAAGTTCTCATCAAAAATTAATCAAATTATTGTTTTCACACACTATGGAAACTGTTAAAATAAAAATGTTAAACAGACTTAAAGTAGATATCCAAATTTTGCTTTAAAACATTTAGCATTTTAAGGTAAGAAATAATAGAAATTTCATTGTGATTTTTTTCTCATTGTGAAGATTTTTATTAAGTTATAGTATATTACAGTTTATGTCTTAATAATAAGATCTTAGGGTAATGTGATATAAAAACCTACTTGGCCACATTACTTCTTGAGTTTCTTCTGGGCAGCTTTCTTCTTGACCATCTGTAATCGTTTCATGGCATTGAGCTGTGATTCTTGTGAAGTTGGACCTTTAGGGCATGCTGAGAGAGAGCTGCTTAATTCTGAAGTGGTTTTGCTAGTGGTACTTCCACTAGGTCCTGATGTCCCACTATTTCCATTCCCACTGAGTTGGCTGGTGTTTCCCGGAACTAAACTACTTGGACTCGGAAGACCTACTTTGCTAACATTGTCACAACTAACAGAACGACTCAGGCCAGTTTTGCCCAAAGTTAGAGGTGGAGGTGGTTTCAATGGTACAGCTGGTGCAGTGCTATTACTAGCACCTATTTTGGAACCTATTCCACCTTTAGATGATGTTGCCAGACCAGTCAAACCCACAGGCTTCTGGTTAGTTGATGAGGTAGCAGGTTTCCCACTGTTGTTTTGGGTTGCTGAACTCAATTTTGCTGTTGATGGACCAGCAGAGGAAGTTTTAGCTGCAAAAGCTGCCCATCCAGTTAGGCCACTAGTTACTGAAGAGGAAACACTGGTACTAGAAGAATTTCCTGAAATAGCCGTGGACGTCTAAAAAAAAAAAAATAAGATAAATACTGCTTAAAAGTGAAATGTAATTAACAATTATATCTTTATAAATATATGATGTTTAATTATACAAATAAATTTATATATATAAATATATATAAATAAATAACAGTTAATTGTTGGACTTTACATTACATTTATTTTATGTTACAAAAGTAATGACTTGGGGAAATTTAAATCACACCACCAAAATTAAGTTCTTATGAAACTGATCTGAAACAACACAAACAATAACATTTATCCATAGCTAATAGACCGTACCATTTCCAAAGCACTTTGGATGTCACTTTCTTATTCTAATGATTCCAAAAAAGAAATATATGAAATTCCTTTTTGGGAATTGCTTTAAATTCACTTATAAGCTCATCAGAAAATCAGATTTAATGCTTTAACTTGTTTTTCACCAAAAAAAGGTATTATCTATTTCAGTAAAGTACCCTATTCTTTACACATTGCTCCAACTGGCTTGTGAATTATTTCAAAAATAGAATCCACTCTTAATGGACAAAAATGTTTGTGCCCAGGTCATTTAGAAAACATCTGAGATAAATAGATGAGATAAATTATCATTTGATAATTACTTACTGAGTGAATGTGTCAGATTCTGAATTCATTTTTTTAAAAAAATGTTCCAACTCCAATTTTGAGCAAATAACTCCTGCATTGCAAAATATATATGGAAATCTGTGTGTGTGTCTCTGTGTTTGTATGTATGTATATATAGTGTAATGTTAACTATTTGGAACTGTACAGCTCTGGTGATGTATTGAAAAGGTTTCATAACCTTATTTTCACAATTTGTTCATGTTTCCATTGAAACAACCATACAAGAGATCCCTGCTTCTGTATAAAGGATTTTATTAACTGCCTCATAAGCTACACAGTGACATTTTAAGCAGGCCTGTCTTATTCCCAGATGAATTTCTTAAAGATATAACACCTTAGTTTCTCAAATTAACTCCTTGGCCAGTCAAAAGCTAACAATGATACCAATGTCATTATATAAATAAGTACTGCTCTTATTCACATGAGGATAATTTTTTTTTTAAACTTCATCAGGCAAAACTTTTTTTTTCAAGTTAATTTTAAACTGAACTTCTCACTAGCACTCTTTCTACCTTTATATTCTTAAGATTCACAGAAGTGTTAAATTTACATATTGGTAAAATATTAAGTTTTACGAATAGTATTTTACTCAGAAATATGGCAATTACCATGCCTAAAATACATGCAGTTGTACTTCAGACCTGAACTCGGGAGTCGATAAAAACATTGCTAATTCTTACAAAGTAGCCTTCAATATTATCTGCATGTAAACACCTGCAGACTCCTTGCTGAGGATGGAGCCTGACACGGGGCTTAATCCCAGGATCCTGAGATCATGACCTGAGATGAAATCAAGAGTTGGCCACTTAATTGACTGAGCCACCCAGGCACCCCTGCATGTAAACATTTTTAACCAATGTGAAAAGTAATCATGATAAAGTGCTGAGATATTTATAAGAGGAAGTCCAGGTTTTAGTTTACATACTCTAAAAACTAGGATTTTTTTTTTACAGTAACTATCTCATAAGGTTATCCAGAGAAGATAAGCCACACATAAATTTTAAATTCCTGGAGGAACATACACAGGTAATGAGAAAAAGTTAGTAAAGGAAGCAAAAGGATACAAGTATAGTAAACTTTTAATTTTCTTTTTATGAAAGATCTAATTTTTTTCCTTTTCTATTAAACATAAAACTGTCTGCCATATGGCTAAATGATCTTTCAACAAACTTCACAGAAGAATATCCATCTGAAGTAATTAAAAAGACCAACACTTATGAAGTACAAACAGAAAGCAGATTTTGTATGTACAGCATTTTAGTTTAATGGCTTGCAGTTACTTGTATTGCCTTTCAACAGAATGACAGATGGCTTATCAGGGCACGAAAAAGTAAAATAACACAAACAATGGAAACCAAGAAATTTTTTAGCATTTCAGCATAGATAATAAATTTCTCAGCTATTTTTCAATTTTTATCTATTAATATTTTCTTGCCCATTATCCTAGTTAGAAAGCCATTTGTTTTTTTTTATTATTTTTTCCATTTGTTTTTTAATATGTGAAAGGAAACAAATTTTTCCATACTAAAAATATATTCACTTTCATCATAAAAACACCAAGACTTCTAAATCAAAATAAACATGACAGCCAAGACCTTATTTTCCACAAAATGATTTCATGTTGGATTTCTTAAAATTATACTTTAGTAGTAACAAGTTGGTATAAAAATCTATCTAAAAGTGATTTAAGTATAAAATACAGCAACTCTAATTACTTTCAATAAATTATTCTTCCTTCTATTCCAATTTGCTAAGTTTTTACATGGCAAATGCAGATATCCTTTAGATATTAACTTCCCTGGCAAAGTAAGTTTAAAAATGATCTGCAAATAAAATTATCAGTATCCTTCCCAAAGTACTTTATATTTATATATTTTTTTTTATTTGAGAGAGAGAGAGAGAGAGCAAGGGGAGTGGCAGAGGGAGAAGGAGAGTAAGACTCTAGATCAGACTCCCCACTGAGCACACAGCCCAATGCAAGGCTCATTCCTATGACCCTGAGATCATGACCTGAACTGAAATCAAGAGTTGGATGCTTAACCAACTGAGCCACTCAGGCATCCCTTTACATTCATATTCTTTATCATCACACCAAGGTTCTTGAACTTTGCTACTTATGGTCAGTAGGACAGGGTAATACCTAGAATTTTCTGGGATCGACTTTTGAGAAATTGGGGCTAATATTTTCTAAAATCTTTAGTACTCTGCTTAAAACTGGAACGTGTAGTTCAGTAAAAATATTGTTTTTGTTATAAAATTAGTTTACAAAAATATTTTATTCCATATACCAAAATGCCACCAGATATTATATAGTGTGATTTCAAAGATATAAACCTAAGAACGAGAAAGGTGACGCTTTCAATAGATAATATGCTCCCTTAGTATAAAAGATAGGTACCATGAAAGTTCATGATAATAAAGGAAAAAAAATAAGATGAAGAAAACTTCTTCAATAGCCAATAAACAGAAAAAATGCTGCAAGGCCAATCAACACAAGTAATGTGAAGAGCAAAACTGCTGCTACTGAGGGCAGAGGTATTTAGAATTGAAAGAAAATTCCTGATTGGAGGTAAGTGTCTGACTACATGGAAATGATAAAGAATACAACTTTGGAATGCTTATAGATGATCTTTCCTAATTGTGATAAAAAGAGAAATAGCAGAGTTAGATATTAAATAATTATAGAAATGCTCCCTTTCTAACTACTGGTAATAGTAATGCAGTCTTTTCCCAACATATGGCCATTTAGTATATAAAGTTCCTCATCAATATTTTTTTTCAAGTATTTTTTAGTCAACTAAATTTAAAATCCAATCTTAGATAAAAATGAAATGTACTGTACCTTGACCTCTGTTCTCTTAAATGCTAGAAAAGTTGTCTCTTGTTTGAGTTTAGTTTCTGGTTTCTTAACCAATGGATCTTTGACAGCTGGAGCTACAGAAACAACTGTGGGTGCTGGTTTCTGTGGTGGTTTCTGAGTTTTCTGAGCCTGTAAAAATCAGTGGATTAGATACAAAATCTTAATTGAATGCACAAAAAAAAAAAAAATCTGTCACAGGACTCTTCACTGAATTGAAATACAGTTGAACATTTTTTTAAAAAAGATTTTATTTATTTGAGAGAGAGATGAGCACTGGGTTTTCTTCTATATGTTGGCAAATTGAACACCAACGAAAAATAAATTTATTAAATAAATAAATAAATAAATAAATAAATAAATAAGAGAGAGAGAAAGAGAGAGAGAGAGAGAGAGAGAGCGCGCACCAGAGCGGGGAGGATGGAGGGAGAAGCAGATTCCCTGCCCAGCAGGAAACCTGATTGTGGTACTTCATCCCAGAACTCCGGAATCATGACCTAAGCCAAAGGCAGAGGCCCAACTGACTGAGCCAGCCAGGTGCCCCTACAGTTGAACATTTAAAAAATATTGTGGTGATACTGAAAATATAGATTCTTGGACAAATTATTTATATCATCATCCTACAAATGGTTTTACAGATTTTATTCATTTCTAAACAGTAAAGGTAATATTAAGCTTTTAGAAATAATGCAGATTAGGTTGATTAAATATCATTTTAACAAGACAAATCAAATCGTTTCTTTAAAAAAGGAAAATCACAAATTATTTGTAACCAGTTAGCTTCATTTGTTTTTTTTTTTTTAATTTTTTTTTAAATTTATTTATGACAGTCACAGAGAGAGAGAGAGAGAGGCAGAGACACGGGCAGAGGGAGAAGCAGGCTCCATGCACCGGGAGCCTGATGTGGGATTCGATCCCGGGTCTCCAGGATCGCGCCCTGGGCCAAAGACCGGCGCTAAACCACTGCGCCACCCAGGGATCCCCTGTTAGCTTCATTTGTAATGAAGTACATTTATTTATTATGGTTGGTCAAAGACTCAGAGGAGTTTTATTCTTGATGTTCAGACACAAACCTCTAACAGAGGGTGAGTTAAAGAGGTGGTTCAGATCATTTATATTATTTCAAATACAGAATGTAGATAAAAAACTATTAGTGATAAATGATGTATCTTTTTGAGGTTTTCCCACACTGCAGAAGAGGCATACTAAACCCTTTGAAAAAGTCCACAAATATAATTTTCTATGTTATCAAAGAGACTTCTGTATCTATACTTCTTTTATAAGCATTTTAGGTTTTATTTTGACCAATAATTGATTTTTTCTTTATAACTTGGTAATTTATTAAATTCTCTTCTGAACTCTAATCATTTTTCAGTTTATTATTTAATGTTTTCCAGCTAAATAATCATAACTATATAAACAGTATAGTGTAGTGTTTAAAAGCAGTTTTTAGAGTCAAATAGATATAGGATTAAAACCCAGCTCAACTACTTCCCTAGCTATGTTACCACAGAAAAATATGTAAATCTCTAAAATCTTCATTCTCTTTGTCTGCAAAATAGGGATAAGACTACCTGCTTTTTTTTATTTATTTATTTATTTATTTATTTATTTATTTATGATAGTCACAGAGAGAGGGAGAGAGGCAGAGACATAGGCAGAGGGAGAAGCAGGCTCCATGCACCGGGAGCCTGATGTGGGATTCGATCCCGGGTCTCCAGGATCGCGCCCTGGGCCAAAGGCAGGCGCCAATCCACTGCGCCACCCAGGGATCCCAGACTACCTGCTTTTAAGGTGGGTTATGAGGATGCATTATGATTACATATGTGTCTAGTATAATGTCTGGCACATGTTGAGTGCTGACAGTAATAGTTTTTATTTATTCATCATCATTTATATAGGATAAGAAAACTGAATCTGGAAGAACCCCATGCATACTAGATGGGGAAAGATGCTCCCAGCCAGTCCACATCTTTGACAATCTTCATATAACCATGCAGAACTATATCAGGAATTTTATTTATTTATTTGTTTGTTTATTTATTTATATTTTATTTTTTATTCATGCAAGACACACAGAGAGAGGTAGCATAGGCAGAGGGAGAAGCAGACTCCCCATGGGGAGCCTGAAGCAGAACTTGATCCCACAATCCTGGGATCACAATCTGAGCCAAAGGCATCTAGACACTCTACCACTAAGCCACCCAGGTGCTCCTATTAGGAAATTTATTAATAATCTGTTCCCATTTCTGGTAATTTCAATGCAGTCTTTTTGCCTGAACTTTCTTGCATAATCTTGTGCTACAGTTTGCTCTACTATATAATTTTGGCCTTTATGTTTCAATTAATCCCATTTTTTATATTACATGTCTTGCATATGAAAGTATAGGTACTTTCAAACATCACTTATAAAACAACATTCAGGTCAAGAATATAATTAGGTATGCTAGAAGACTACCTGTGGTAAAATAACTCTTACCAGCAGGAAAAGAGGGCCATCTTATCCTTTATTGCAAAACCATGTTATGAGAATGCAGCCCTCAGTAAATCAGAAATTCATGGTTCCATAACCATGGCTTTCAATCTTACACTTCCTTCAACCCACATCTACTATTCCAGACGTTAGACTCTGAAGACTGACCTAACTTATTCTGGTGTTAGCAGATGAAGACTCCAACTACTCCCACAAAGGGCCTTTGCCTAGATCATGTTTGGATCATTTTCCACTTTTTCTACATCACCCAGCTATCTTATGAGTTGAGTACAAAATACCCAGAAGCCTTAGTCCTTTGCTGATAATACTAGTTTCGGGAATGAGGATATTATCATTGACTTGGTGCTGCTCAACAAAGGTACTATAATTTTTCACTGGCTTACTGCTTCATACATTGCAGAATGTATGAAATTTCCCACTCAAGGCAATAATTGCCAATATAAAAGCAATAAAAAATACCACATATTTCTAAATGCTGCTGAGTAGGTGTGTTATTAGCTTAGATTGAAAACCACTGCAGTAAGTCATGAGTCTCTGACTTAGTGCTGAGGCAAAACCCATTACCTGGTAAAGAGAACATTACAGAACTGAAGAATGATCTTGGAGCCTGTCACACACTATCACAACATTCTTAACTAGGTCTTCCCATAATAATGTGTACTGAGGAACCTGCCCTAGTTGGAAAAATTAATGTGAAGAGAATGGGGATATAAGATGCTATTTATAGTATCTCTGAGATACCTTGAAGCAATAACCAACACATATGTCAGAACTGCACTGAAAGCAATTATAGGTAGAATGACTAAATTTAGCTTCCGCACTATTTCCAAATTCCTTTCTCTCATTAAATTTTGTGTTTACTGGATCCTGATCATCAGGCTCACTTCAGATAATAACTTTTGTTATTTCTCTGAGTCTACTCTTAGTGAATTCTACTCATGTTTTAACATTAGTCATGGCTCTCCATTCAGTACTTTGACTCCTGGACATACAGATTGAACTTACTGACTATTTCTGGTACTAACCCACATTTCCTTCATTTACATACCTTAAGCACAGAACAGAAAGTAGGATGTGTCCATTCCTGAGCTCTTCTCTGGTGCTATGCCAATAAATTAGACATGGTCTTACTGATAAATGAATTACACACGGAATTTGTAAAGCAGATAAAGAATAAAGGATATCCCAGATGAAGAAAAGCTGAGAAGCAAGAGATATGAAAACAGGAAAGTTCACCCCATATTCAGGAAATTATACACTTAGTCTGGCATGGCCAAAGTGTATGGGTGTATATGGTGAAGTGGTGAGACAGATGAATACAAAGACACACTTGGGTCAAAGAGAGAAGGTCCATATATTCGCCCTAATGAGTATAACCTCATTAAAAAAGTAACTGAGAACCATTGGGCATATTTAACCAGATAAAATTAGACAAAAATTTTAGAGGAATAATTCTAATTGTTTTAATTGAAAGTGGATTCAAAGGAAGCAAGGAGACTTTATTTTTTGTAATTTTTTGGAGCCCAATGCAGGGCTCGAACTCACCACTGTGAAATCAAGACCTGAGCTAAGATCAAGAGTCAGATGTTTAACTGACTAAGCCACCCAAGCAATAGACAAGAAGTGGAATGGGGTAATAAGGGCAAAATGAACGGATTTAAGAATTGTCTAAGAGGTATAACTAGCAAATTTGGTAAACAAAGGGATATGGAATTAAGAGATGCATCAAAAATAATGTATCTAGTTTAGGCAACTGGGGGAAAAATTGAATGGAGAAGAAAAATAATTTATTTTTAAAGTTACAGTAGGATATCTGGTCAGCTGCCAAAGTTCATTCCATAAAGAGGGCTAGAACCATAAATATAGATTTGGTATAAACTGTCACAAAAAATGGAGGAGAATACACTTTGAAGAGAACAATGGTTACTTTACTGAGACTTACAATAAAATAACATTAAAAAAATCTTTGAAGATACACTAAAGAAAGATTACTCTCACAAATCACTTGTTTTTACTATTATCAATTCTTAGTGACCACTTCTGTCAATGCCCTAGAACGCACTATATTGCTCACCCATAATCATTTGGTTGAGGTCCTGAGAGACTAGCATAAACAATAAAATAAATAAAAATCAGAGTGAGCCAGAAAAATTATACCTTGTCACAGAAATTCCCTGTCACAACTGAAAATATACATATTATTGAAATTTTACAACTTTTCATGGTAATAGAAACATTTCCTATTTCTGATTTAACTTATTGACAAGTAAAATAGGTACCTTGAATTTTTAGTTTTAAGTAAGTACTTCTGACTTTAAAAAGATGTATTTGGCCAGAAAAGTCTATGTAGAAATTTATTTAGTTAAGTGAAAACTCTTCTATCAAGAGACCCTAATCAAGGCTGGGGATGAAGGAAAGGAGAAGTCATTAAAGTAAATAACAACTTCTTTATTTCTTTAAAGGAAAATGATGAAGTTCATTTATCTGCTTTTTAAATGAATAACAGTTACAAAAGTATCCGATAAAAGTGAAAACACATTTCAGTATAATGTAAAAGGCAGTTCGATTAGCAAGCCGTAAAAAAGAGAAAGTACATTGGAAAATGAGATAAATGGTCACTCGAGGACAATGAAGACAGAATGAGGAATAAAGAAACACAGATGGAAAGATAGAGACGCATATACAAATAATGCTGCTGTACATAGTTTTGTGAATTTGAGGGTTTAAGCCCATTCAGGGATAGACATTTTTAATGTGTCCTTACCAGACTCACCAAAAACGAGGGCTTTGTATCTCACCATTTCCTAGTATCTTATAGTATTTCTAAATGTTTATAAATACAGTGACATCTAGCAAGGAGTATTTGTATCTTGTGGGTTTCTAATCCTGTTTATGTTACAGTAAGCTAAAAGCTGAACAGAGAAAAATGGATACAACATGGTCTAGTCTTCAGGCATAGATATATAAATCATACATGTACACTATACATACAAACATTTAAATCATCAGTATACATTATTTCTTTCAATAGTTTAAATGTTCAAATTTTTATTTTGAAAAGCACCCATCAACAAAAAAATGACATAGGCCATTTAAAATAGAGAAAAAAAAATGATTCCTACCATTCTTTTCATTTGTCTGGTACATCGGGCACAATACCACACAAGACGAGGGTCATTCACTTCCTTGTCTGTCACCTGGGGCTTATGGCAATCTTGGTGGTAGAGATTATGGCACTCCTGACACTCCACTAATTGATTACCAGATGCCACTGTCATTTGCCTGAGGAAATATACCATCAAACATTGTACTTATTTGAATATAACAATTTAAAACTATTCTATGGTTGTTTTGGTAAGTGTGATAGGTAAAAGAGGATTAAAACCCCAGACAACCAAAGAGCAAAATAACAAACTCTACCATGTAGCTTACACAAGCATTCCATGCTCAAGCATCAAAGTAAGGTACGCTAGTAACTGAATTTGGCTATATTCTCCTAGCCATTTCTCATTGTAATTTTTTTCTTTCTCCCAGAAGGGAGCAGACTTTGGCTATTACTCCAACAGTCTCATAAAAATTTCTCTATCTTTCTATTAAATTCCTTTATATTTGTTATCTACATGTTGTTCTGTCTTCTTCATTAATATATAAGTTCATTAAAAATAAGCTGCCTATATATTTAAATTGACTTACATATGAAAATAGAAATAGGACCTAATTATCTACAGTGTTTGGCATATTACCTTGCAGGTATGGGTGTTCAATAAATACATGTGTTATCAAGTGAATAGAATGTAGCAATATGTATATCAAGAAAACATAAATTCTAACACCACAAAAAAGCATTTACCACAGCCTTAGACTGTCATAAGTCTCCAAATGGGGGGGTTAAAGTTACTAGTTCTCTCTCCATTATTATCTTACCATTCATTTATTTAAAAAATACAAACTTCATGGTAGATAAAGGTTGAAATAAATATATGTGTAAACAATGAAGCTGTAACGAATGATTCAGAAGTACATTAGCTCATTCTCTGTATGGTTCATAAAAGCTTATAGTTATTTACTCAGTCCCAATGCACTTGACTGTAACATTTTCATGACAAAACAGCAACAAAGATGGTAATCCTTTTGGTTGTGCCAGGCAGTACAAGCCATTAACAATTAAAAATATAGCCTCTGGCATCAAGCAGTTTAAAATTCAGCTTTTCTGATTTTTGCAATTCATCTTCTAATGAAAAAAATTATCCATGTTTTTGTAATTACATATCCATGTTTTAAAACAATGCCCAGAATAACCCACACAATCCATTAATTTCTTTTCCATTACTTGTAGGAAAAGATGTTGAGTGTTTAGAAAACATGCAACTGCCTATTTTATAAGTACTATCAACAATTCAAAGAAAAAAGCAACACAGACTTCTTAAAAAGAACAGAATTAAATCTGTTGAACAGACTCTTCTTCGTTAAATAAAGCAATAATTGCTTTCCCTAGAACCCAAGAATGCAGGAACTGTTACTATGACACAATAAAGATGCCACAGTGAGGAAAAATATTTGACAATTTTCAAGATGCTAAATTGCTATGTAAGCATCTTATAGAGAATAATCTACTTATTTCCTACCCACCTCCAAATTATAAAAACAAAATATAAACACCCAACAATTGATCTGATTTTTTCCCTCTTGTTTGCTCTTTACAAAAACAAACGAATCTTTCCACAGAAAGGTACAACTTACCTACAAACAACACAGGCCAATCCCATCTCCATGGCAAAATCATCAGCACTAGTCTCCTCAAAACTGGAAAGGTCAGCCATAGCTAAATCCTTGCTAGTTTGGACGGTAATGGGAGAAGACCTTGTCTCTGGTTTCTCCAATCTAGGTTTCTTTGGAATATCAACTCCTTCTGTGATATCTGATTTCATCTATTAAAAGCACACAATCAGAAAGTAACATGTTAGAATAAACCTTAAGTCATGGAGAGATGGATAAAATAGACAAAGTATGATGACCAAGTCCACTTGCTAGATATTTTGACATAGGGACAGTCATAAACACCAAAGATCTGCAGAAGGTTTATAGTAAATTCATAATCAATACATTATAAGAAACTAGCAAGGTAGAAATAAAAAAAATCAAAACAGTTTAGTATGTATCTGTATTTGTCTTTGTATTCTTTTATCCATTAAAGAATTCTTGAAGTTCAATGCACTTATATGGCCTTTTCCCCCCTTCATCATATGCTTTGAAATGAGAAGCCCCAGCGCTAATAAAGCTATCATAAGTCTACTTTTTTTTATTTTAAATATTTTAAATTATAAACTACTGATATTGGGAGTGCCTGGGTGGCTCGGTCGGTTAAACTATCTGCCTTTGGCTCAGGTCATGATCCTGGGGTCCTGGGATTGAGTCCCACGTCGAGCTCCCTGCTAGTGGGGAGTGTGCTTGTCTTTCTGCCCTCCCTCCCTCCTGGTTCTCTGTCTCTGTCTCTCTCTTACTCATTATAAATATATAAAATCTTTTTTTTTTTTTTTTTTTTTATGATAGTCACAGAGAGAGAGAGAGGCAGAGACACAGGCAGAGGGAGAAGCAGGCTCCATGCACTGGGAGCCTGATGTGGGATTCGATCCTGGGTCTCCAGGATCGCGCCCTGGGCCAAAGGCAGGCGCCAAACCGCTGCGCCACCCAGGGATCCCTAAATATATAAAATCTTAAACTACTCATATTTGAAATATATTGAAAAGAAGTAAATAACAAACCATCTACCGTCATCCACACTGCCCTATTTGCTTCAAAGCAAATTCTGGCTCCTCTCTTTAAGATATAAATGTTACAGACATACCTGTCAGATTGGCAACAATGAAAAAGTCTGATAAGACATGGAGAATTTGCAATTCTTATACTTTATTGGCAGTGTATAAATTTAGTATATGCACTTTGGATAGCAATTTGGCAATGTCTAGTAATACTGAAAATGTTACTATCCTATTACATCTTTTTATAGGTATACATTCTATAGAAATCATGTGCTCAAAGAATTTACCTTGAAAGCAGCTTACTGAAGCTCCATTGTAATAGAAAAAAAGGAGAAATAACCTAATTGCTCATCAGTAGGGGAATGGATAAACTGATTTATTCATTAAACAACTATTATATGGTAGCTGAAAGACTCATATCTTCATAGATCAGCACAGGTGAATTTCAAAAGCACATTTCCTGAGGTGAAAAAGTTGCCAAAAGATATACATGTGTACCTGTATGATACCATTTATATAAACTTAAAAGCACAGAAAATAATACTATATGATTTATGAATAACCAATATTAAGAAAAAGTATGAAAGCATATGAGACTAATATATTCCATCTTAAGGCAAGCAATATCAAAATTTTTAATGTATTTTTTACTAAGTGCTAAAATCTTAATAACTAACTATGTGCAAAAATCATTCAAAATAGGCAATCCAAGAATTATCTGTATCTCTGTTAAGGTACACACCATCCTATAACAAATTTCATGTTTAGTCACTTTACATCTTTATTTTCTCCTGTCTATTTTCTCAATAACTATTTCATCTAGAATATTTAAGTTATTGATTAAAGTTAATGCTTGAAATTAGCACATCCCCTAGAGCTCAAATGTGTATTGAAATGACTTCAGTAAATGGTTAAATAATGTTTCTAAATTTTACTCACTTTTCAAAAAAATAACATCTATAATTATCAAAATATATTTACTGAATAGTTATTATGTACTTTACCTACTATTATGCAAAAGAAATGAGCACAGAAAGAAACAATGTTCCTGTCTATAAGCACAAGTGATTAATTCCTTTTAAAGTCAGATTAAATTAATTCTTACTTTTTCAGCTGGTCTCTTTTCAGCTTCTTTCTTTACTTTTTCAGTTGTGAGGGCCTTGCCATTATTATTACCAGAAGGAAGACTGGATGACGTTTTGGGCTCTTGCTTAACAGAAATAGCTTTTGTGCTTGAAATTTTGGGTGGCTCCACATCCTAAAATATGGAAAAAAAAAAAAAAAAGGATGTCTGTAATTAAATGTTTTAACAAACTGTAAAAAGCGGATCATAAATGTAAATAATTTTCAGGTAAAAATTAAGATATGTTTTGACCAATGTAACATCCATTTCTTTAAAAGATTTATTGAGAAACACCTGATATACAAACTGTATCTTTAAAGTGTAAAACTGGTAATTTTCACATGAAACTATCACTACAACCTATATAATGAATATAACCACCATCCCCCAAAGTTCCCTGTGGCTTGCTATAATTACTCTTAGAGGTATACATCCTAGAGAAACTGTCTCCCTCCATCCTCAGGCAACCACTAACCTGCTTTCTGTAACCATAAATTAGTTTACATTTCCTAGAAATTTATATGAACAGAATCATATGGTATGTACTCTTTTTCTAACTTCTTTAACTTAGTCTAGTGACTCAGGTTATTGAGTATATCAACAGTTCATTCCTTATATTACTGAATAATATTCTACTGGATGGACATACCATTTGTTTATTATCTATTGGATATTTATTGGTGGATATTTGTTTATAGTTTGGGGCTATTACAAATAAAGCTATTATGACCATTCAGGCACAAATTTTGGACATTCACTTTCATTTCTCTAGAATTAATGTCTAGGAGCAAAATGGCTGAATCATATGGTAGGTATATGTTTAACTTTTTAAGGAACTCCCAAACCATTTTTCAAAGTGGTACCATTTTACATTTCCACCAGGAGTATATGAGAATCCCAGTTCCTCTGCATCCTCATCAACATTGGTAATGGCTAATCTTTTTAATTTTAGACATTCTATTTGGTATATAGTGGTATATCACTGTGAACTTCCAATTTCCTAACATCTAATGATGTTGAACAGGTTTTAAAGTGCTTATCTGCCATACATATATATCTTCTTTGGTAAAATGCTCATTAAAACTTTTAAAAAAATAGAGTTGTTTGTTTTTTTCTGACCCTAAAATGTTCTTCATAGGTTCCGGATATAAATCCTTTATCAGACACTAGATTTACAAATATTTTCAGTCTCTGGCTTGTCTTTTCACCCTTGTTCTTATTTTACCACTTTGTTGATATTTATACTTGCTATCTACTGCTAATAGTATAAAAAGTTTATGTATATGATAGGTCCTTGGAATCACCCTGCAAAAGAGGGCATTTCCTCCCATTCTAAATAAATCAGAACATCTGAGAGCAGTCTGCTTTTCTGTAATAACACATAAATGTATAAAAATACAGGAATGATATACATTAGCTTCAGAACAGTGGTAATCTCTGAGGAAGAAGAAATGGAGAGGGGGAAAAAGAATGGGGTTATAAAGGGAGAAGAAATGTGTGGGAAATATCAGAAAGGGAGACAGAACATAAAGACTGCTAACTCTGGGAAACGAACTAGGGGTGGTGGAAGGGGAGGAGGGCGGGGGGTGGGAGTGAATGGGTGATGGGCACTGAGGGGGGCACTAGACGGGATGAGCACTGGGTGTTATTCTGTATGTTGGTAAACTGAACACCAATAAAAAATAAATTTATTAAAAAAAAAAAGAATGGGGTTATAGACTCATTGGTAGCTATACTTGATTTACTGTGCTGATTGTCTAGACCAAGTACTGGAAAACTGAGGCCTAGAGGCCAAATCTGGCCTACTGCCTGGTTTTTATAAAATTACATTAGAACACAGCAATACTCATTTATTCATGTATTGCCTATGGCAATTTCATGCTACCATGGCAAAATCACATTGTCCTAAAAGAGACTATCAGCCCACAGAACCTGAAACATTTACTATTTGATTCTTTACAGAAAGTTTGGTGACCACTTGTGTAGACGTGGGAAAATGATGGAAAAAATGTTGGTAATGTAGATTAAACTTAAAAGTGTATCATGTCTATAACATAAAAAAATAAAAACAATCTTGCAGGATTTGAAAACTATTATCGAACTCAGCAAAAGAGTTACAAGTCTTGATGGATGAGTTAAGTTCTAAGTTCATTATTTCTTTTTCTTTTTCTTTTCTTTTCTTTTCTTCTCTTTCTCTTTCTCCTTCCTTCCTTTTCTTTATTCTTTCTTTCTTTCTTTTCTTTCTCTCTCTCTCTCTTTCTTTTTTCTTTCTTTCTTTCTTTTTCTTTTCTTCTTTCTTTCTAGAGCCCAACTCGAGGCTTGAACTCACAATCCTGAGATCAAGACCTGAGCTGAGATCAAGAGTTGACTTTGATCAATGCTTAACTGACTAAGCCACACAGGTGGCTCTCAGTTCATTCAGATTCAACTTATTCAATGATGCGAATGAAAATATCAACCAATTTTTATGTTGAAACTTTATTTGGAGAGTGAGTTGTTAATATTTGTAAGCATACCACTGCCTCCAAGTGATTTTTATTCTAGAGATAGAAATGGGACAGCTAAAGGCTACAATTAAATGAATCTATACCTTTTAAGTACCTAACAGAGTATTTTCTCTTAAGTTGATCAAAAGTAACTCCAGTTAGAAATCTAAGGACAGGAAGCTTTTTAATCAAACTTCTCGTGTACTTTAACAGATGAACTTCCTTCTGTTTTAGAATCTCAAAATACAGTATTGTTTCTTTAGTAATAATAATTTTTTCTTGTTGAGATAGTATCAATATCCAGAGCAGAATGAACTTACTAGTGTATTGTGTGGAGTTGTATAATTTGGTGAGTTGGAACTCATTGAACCTACCAGAATGAGGATGGTAGAAGAAATAATGACACATTGGCTCTACTATTCAAAAGACAGTAAAAAGGCTTGAGAATACAAGAGCTTGTGTTGAAAGGAGACTGGGGGCAAAATACCACTGTTTACTTGGGCACTGGGAGTACCAGGGAGATACTATACTAAGTGACTTACATACTTTATGTTCTGTTAATTTTCACAATTATCCCCATTCTACTAATACAGAAAATAGGGACTGGCTGAAAAAAAGTTACTATGCACCTCAGATTTAAAGATTTTATTTATTTATTGAGAGAGAGAGAGAGAGAGAGCATGAACAGGGGTAAGGGCGGAGTGACAAGCAGATTCTCTACTGAGCAGGGAACCCTACGTGGGGCTCGATCCCAGGACCCTGAGATCATGACCTGAGCCAAAGTCAGACACTTAAATGACTGAACCACTCAGACACCCATCAGTTTCCTTATTTTTAAAAATAAATAATACTATCTTAAAGAATCATTATCACAGTTAAAATTAATTATACACATACACCATGCAGAAAAGTACCTGAAACACAATAAATGTTCAGGATATAGCATCTACTACCACACAACTAATAAGAGGCAAGCTGGGATTTAAAACAGGTTTGGGTGCAAAATGTTTCTTCTTTTTTTTTTTAGAGAAATTTTTTTAATTTTATTTAAATTCAATTTGTCAGCATAGAGTACCAAAATGTATATTCTTTTCACATAAAGCTTTGTTACTATCAAAATTGAAGCCACATAGTTCTCACAATTTATCCACACATCCCTTTTCCCTTAAATTACCCTACCCATATCCAATCCACTTCATTGCAAAATCCCTGTCCTTTCACTTCATGATTTTTGCCCACAAAACATTAAAGGATAATTATAAGCTATAGTTTCAGCCAGTTGCTTAAAAACTGTTTTGATCCTAAAGAATTAGAAATTAAATCAAATAAAAAATAAATAAGTAAATAAGTGGGTTTCTCTACACAAAAACTAGTAGAAGAGAATATCCCTCCCACCCAGCTAACTTTTCTATGTAGTGTAACAATTCTCTGAAAGCATGAAGGAAGAAAAGAACACTAAACAATATAATTCCTTCAACCCTTAAGGAAAGATTATTTTGGCCAGGAGACTGTTTTGAGATGATCTAAATATTAATACTATTCTACTACTGGCCTTACAAAACTCACCCCCAAGTTTTTTATTCATGTAGGTACCTTTTGAGATGGACGATAACTTGAATCAATGCCTCGAGCCAACGATTCATCAAGCAGTGCCTTGAGCTTTTCAGCAGAATCCTTACTCTTTGAATGTAAGAAGCCTAGTGCTTTCAAAAAAATGGGATCAAGTTCCAAGTTCACGGTAGCAGCCATTGCAAACACCTGAAGGAAAAAGAAAGGGGAGGGGGGAATTAAAGACAATGAACAGTTATCTATTTTATTCTTTTATTTATAATAGGCAATATTGTGCCCAAGATACAAAATCTGAAATGTCTAAAAGGTTATTACAGGAAAAAAGTAAATGTCTTTGTTATCCCTACCAAATTCTTTTTCCCCGAAGCAAGGACATGATCAGTTTTGTACGTATTCATATCCATGGCTAAATTTTAAATCCAGATAAACTCTTCCCTGCCACAGAGCCCCCTCCTGTTTTAAAATATACACTTACAGTTCAGTATACAGGAATTTGATGTGTTTAGGTCTAGCTGACATCAAAATTTCTTCTCTCAAACCTGATTTCCACTGCCAAAAAAAGAAAAAAAAAATGGTGGAGATGAGGTATCACAGGAGGGCAATGGTTAGAGGAAGCACCAAGTGATGAGCTATAAAGGTCACTGCTACAGCTTTAACTTCAACTATGTATTTTTTTAATCTCCTTAGTCCTCAGCTCCAAACTTGAATGCCTCAGAAAACATTCTAATGATAATCTTATTGGATCACACTTAGATTGTGGTATCTCATGCATTAACCTATTTTTAGCAAGGTTTCTGAGGAATGGTACCATAGCTACTATAAATTATAAATAAAATCATACATATATACTTATATATATGATATAAAATCTCCCCATAGGGCCTATGGTAATGCTCTGTGTCATTAGAAGCTTGAAATATAGTGAAGATGTACATCAAAGGCTTATGAAATTCCAAAACATTAAAAAGTTTTGTTTTCAGTTAATACCAATGCTATCGTGTGATTCTACTTCTTGTGTCACTTTTTCAAATACTTCTCCAGGCAAGGAATTATTAAAATAAAAGTGTATACTTTGTGTTCAATCCTTTGATCAATATTCTAGGGCTTGAAGTTGTCTTCTATCCTTGAGGTTAATATTGTAATAATGCAACACACTTGCACTGTTAGAGTTATGGATCTGTCAGCAAATTCCACAGTAATTTCTCATTTTCAGGGGTTTATAAAGCCATTAAAACTTGCTGTAGGTTGAATCTTGGCATATGAAAGTTCCGACTGAAAATGAATTTTGTTTGTTCCTTACCCATCTACTTCTCCCCAATTCCTCTACAACTTTGACAGGAAATACACACACATACACACACACACACTCACAACCTTACGCTTTTTTTTTTAAGTTTTCAAGAAAGTATTACATACCTATCTGATAGCCTCAGAATAATTGTCAAATTCTGTGCTCTACTAAAATATTTGAATCATTCATGAATCCAAAAGCCAATACTAAAAGAAAAATAACCTATCTCAAATAGCTGTACTAGTAATTTAATGAAAATCGAGACACAACCTCTGTCACTTCTTAAAATTGTATTATTCTATACACCACTTATATAGATAATAGGTACAGAAAGGTTATTTTTAAATTTACTCAGGTATATGCTGGTCACTATACATATTCTCAGGAGAAAACAATTCCCCACTAAAATGTCCATGATAAAAAGAATAAACCTGCCATTCCTCCTGAGTGCTCAAGGGGAATACAGCCTAATCTTTTTATTGGCCTAACTTTTTATGGCTAAAGACCATAGTGTTTACTCACCCAGAACAATGTGTTTTATGAGGCTGACCAAAGGGTTAATACTTAGAAGACTCCCTTTAATATGCTAGAAAAATCATTACTTGAAATTCTATGCTGACAACCAGAAGTGTTTACTGTTATGTATTTCCATAATCACATACAAAAGGTTTGCATTACAGATTAGGTGACAAGAGTCAGCATGTAGATTATAAAACTATAGAAGTAGTATCATCAACACTAACATTCCAATTGGAACCTTTGAGTCAGTTCTTTTTATACAACCCTGCAATTATAAACCTGAACATGATTTGTACCCATGTCCTAAATCACTAACATGTCCCTCCAACCCAGTGGTCTTCATAATGGAATATAGGGGAAAAAAATGTGAGAATTTTTAATTAAAAAAAATAAGCTTTTAGTATGCAGAATGATAGTAGTATATGCATATAATTGGTAACTAACATATATATGAAGTATGCTCAATTTTATACACATGGAATAATGAAACAAGTTTAAAGCCACTGCTTTTGTCTATCTAGCAACTTCTAGTTTCCCTTTCCCTATTATGTATACATCAAGGCTGCTTTATGGTACATACTACCTTTTCCTTGAGAAGCCACCCAGTACTATCAGCTCAGATCTTCTCTCTCTTTCCACATTAACTTCATTAACTTCATTGCTAGCTGCCCATCATCTTCTAGCCCCCAATCATTACCAATATATTCCCCTATTTTTCTACTTTTTTTTCTCAAGCGCTCCTTCTATCTTTTTACCTTTGCTATTTCCCCTTGACATCACCTTTTTACCACCATCTCCCAAATGGTGTTCCTTTAACTTTGTATTGAAAGAGCAAAGAGGTCTATGGAGACCTTATTCCATACTGCTGTTTTTGGAAAAAGATTCCATGACCACCAATCATCATCATCTTTTCTTGAAATATACACCTGCACCTTCAAAGTTGCTAAGTATGGAATCATGCTCATTTTCTTCCTCTTCCCTATCTTCATATTTGGCAATGCTAAAACTGCACCTATATTGATGATCTTATCTAGCTTCTTGCACTCAGTTTACTTGGATCTTCAGCCCTCCAGGAGCTTCATCTTCAGCCACTGAAACCTGAAACTAGCTACAATTATTCTCCTTTTTGACTATAATCCTCCATCGTTCTATCTCTTCCACTCCTCTGATCCAGAAGCCTCTTCAGGGTACCAGGTCAACCCTCCTTTTGGGTTTTTTGTTTGGTTGATTTTTTGCCCCATTTCTTTCTTCCCATTCCATCTGCACTTTGAATTTATAGAAGCCTCCAGTTCCTTGTTCCCCCTGCTTTGTCCAATAATGGTACCTCCTTGCTCCAAGTCTTTCCTTCATCACAGAGAAAACAGTAATTGGGCCTAAAATACAACATTCATAGTGATATGTTTTATTCTTTATTTTTTTTTAAGATTTATTTATTTATTTATTCATTCAGAGAGAGCGAGAGAGAGGCAGAGACACAGGCAGAGGGAGAAGCAGGCTCCACCCAGGAAGCCCGATGTGGGACTCGATCCCGGGTCTCCAGGATCACACCACAGGCTGCAGGCGGTGCCAAACCTCTGTGCCACTGGGGCTGCCCTGTTTTATTCTTTATATTTTAGTTTTCTATTTTACCTTCCCTCACCCTTTTTCTATTGTCTTCTCTGGTTTCTATTCTCCTTTTTTACTGGCAAATGCACACATAATAAAATTTATTTTTCATCTATTGACATCCTCAAAGAGGTCAGCAACTAATTTATCAAGTATCTCCTTTATTATTTCCAAAAATATTTCCCTGGAGTTACACCAAACGATATTACTTTTATACAATTCCTTCCCTGTATATTCCAAAATCCATGATCAAAACAGACTGGAAAAAAGCCATATCACTCTGAGGATTAGAATTCAAGAAAAAAGTCCTGTGTGTGTGTGTGTATTAATATACATATGTATGTATATAGATATAGACACATGAAAGAAACTTAATTCTTTAAATGTAGGTTTAATTTAAAATCTAGGTATTGCTTTAAAAAAAGGTCAGAAAATTAGCAATTACTGTTTTAAAAATGCCAATGACCTAGGAATGTGGTAGTAGTGGTACTGGTAGGAATGAATTCTTAGCTCATAGTAGGAATCATCTATGGCAAATGCTTATAACACAGAAATTTCCAACTAATAAACAATGATCTCTTTTCTCCATCTCTTTTTCCTTCTTGATTTATTTTCAGTGTGTCATTTTACATCTCATCCAGCACATATTCCAAGGTCCAGCCTTTCAAAGACTCTCTTTCCTAAGCACCCCTGTTCTACAGTCCTATGGTTTCATCTACTCTGTAGCCAACCATCCTGCTATTTACCTTCTCCCTGCCTGCACCCAAACTAAGTGCAGAGGAGAGGAATACACACACTGTATCTTCAGACTCACCAGTCTTATCTAAGCACTCTACACAGTTTAGTAATCTTGTCATGCTTCTCTCGTCAACTCACTTCCCTACTTTCTGCCAAGACCAGTTACACTTTCCATTTTCCTTGAAACTGCTACCCTATCTCAGCAGATGTATTAGCTGACTTCACAGAGAAAACAGAAGCTGTCAGAGAGACACTAAATCATCTACAAACTTATCTGTACCTCTCCTTTCCTTTTCCCACCTGATAAATGAAAAGGTGGCTCTCCATGTACTACTACCTGTACCTGGATCCTACGTTTTCCTTCTCCATCTGGATCCTGCGCTGTGGATTATTTACTAGGACTTCTCTACAGCCCACCATCACAACCCCTTTCTACCAGCATCTTTTTTAACATTTAAATATATTCAAGCCTCTTGTACCCTGTCTTCTTCATTTTATACCAAAACTTCCTCAGATAGTCATTCTCATTCTATGTTCCCTTTCTTCATTCTTCTATTTATGCTGCATTTCCTGCAATTTGGCCTTTATCCTATCATTCCATGTTCTTACCAAAGTATTCATAGCTTTAGATAAATATAATAAATCTTGTTTTCTCCTCCTGCTTTTTTCTTAGTCTTTTTGTAGGTTCCTATTCCACTTCAACTTAAATAAGTTCCTCAAGATTAGGTTCTGGGTCTCTTTTTGTCTCAGTCTGCATGTGATACCTGGATCAGCAGCACAGACATTACCTAGGAAACTGTTGGAAATGCAAACTCTTGGTCTCTACCATGAGACCAACTGAAGAAGAAACTCTGGGAGTGGGCCCAGAATCTATATTAAACCTTCTAGCTGATTCTGATCCACTGTAAAGTTTGAGAATTACTGCTCTAGACAATTTGATCTAGACCCTTTTGCCACTGATTATAAATTTATTTCCCCAGCCCATCCATCTCTTCCAAGATCCAACTGCTAGCTTGACTTGGCTGTCTCACTGGTGCCTCCTATTCAACATGTGCCTAATAGAGCCACTCATAACCTCTTTGTCTCCAATCAGATCTCTTAGGATTCCCTTTCTCAAATGATACTCACCCCATTGCTCCAGCCAGAATCTGAGTATCCACTTTAACTTCTCCTACTTCATCACCCCCACCCAGCCCAAGTAGTCAATCACCAAACCGCCTAAATATATCTCAAATTAATCTGCCTTTTTTTCTTTTTTTTAATTGACATTTTTATGTGTATTTTATTTTTTATTATTAATTTTTTTATTTTTTATTGGTGTTCAATTTGCCAACATATAGAATAACACCCAGTACTCATCCCATCAAGTGCCCCCCTCAGTGCCCGTCACCCAGTCACCCCCACCCCCCACCCACCTCCCTTTCTACCACCCCTTGTTCATTTCCCAGAGTTAGGAGTCTCTCATGTTCTGTCTCCCTTTCTGGTATTTCTCACTCATTTTTCTCCTTTCCCCTTTATTCCCTTTCACTATTTTTTATATTCCCCAAATGAATGAGACCATATAACGTTTGTCCTTCTCCGATTGACTTACTTCACTCAGCATAATACCCTCCAGTTCCATCCACGTCGAAGCAAATGGTGGATATTTGTCGTTTCCAATGGCTGAGTAATATGCCTTTTTAAAACCTTACTACCACCACCCTAAACCAAGCTACCATCATCCATTGTCTGGCCTGCCATAATAGCTTAATCAGTCTTCCCACAACCACTCTTGTTCCCCTCCTTGTCCCCCTCTGTCTATATCACTCACTTGGTGAATATGCTCTTTTCACCTCTCTCTGTCCAGAGGTTAAAGAACAACATCCTTAACAAAGTTTCTAATGCCCTACAAGATCTGGTAATACTTGCAAAGTAGTTACAAGAGTATCTAGCACAGAGTACACATTCATTAGATGTTACTAAGTATCTCAGGCTATTCCAACTCTCTGTTGTAGCCACATAACTTAGTTCAAGTCTTTCAACCTACCATACTTACTCTTTCTTCCCTCAGCACTTCAGTTAAAAGTGTCCCATCTTACTCATCCTTCATATCTCATTTTTTTTTTCACATTTCCCCCAACAAAACAAGAAGTCTTATTGTTACATGGTACCCAAACATCCTGCACTTATTTGTAATAGTAACTACACTGCTAATTATGTGAACAGATCTTTCTCACTAGAATGTAAATTCCATGACAACCAGCACTGGATTGATTTTCCTATTCCTGTTAGCTATGTGTGTAGCAGAATGCCTGGCAGGTAGCAGGTATTCATTAAATGCTGGCCAAGGGAACACACACTATTCACTTCTTCAGTTAAAAACTTTCTCCTTGATTTCTATTACACTTAGCTTTTCTGGTTTTTCCTCTTCTCTCTCTTGACAACTCTTACTCTGGTTCATCCTCAGCTCTGTCACTCTTGGTATTATCCAAGTATCTGTCTTTATCTTCTTTAGTTCTACTTCCAATTTCTTCCTTGGTTATCTTCTATCTTCTATAGATCATGTTTTTAACTACCATCTCTAGGCAGATGATTTCCTTTTTATCACCACACCAATCTCACTTAGGCTCAAATCCCACATTTCCAATTGCTTAGTAGATATGTCTACCTGGTTGCCCTAATGGTATCTCAAATTCAGTTATGGCTAAAATTGAGATTATGAATACTTTCTTCCAAAAGTTCGTCCTGTACTTTTTCAGTGAATGACACAACTCTCTGCTAATCCAGTCTGAGGCCTAAATCCTTCCCTCACTAAATCCTCTCTTATTCTGTATAACCAAACAATCAGTAGGCCTTCCCTATGGTTTCTGACTTTGCAACATTCCTCACATTTGTTCCATTTTTCACTTCCACTGCTACTACTCCAATTCATGTCTTTTAAGTTTTGTGGTATAGCAGTAATTTAGCTATTCTCCTTGACTTCAGCACTACTGCCATACTAATGTTCCAAAAACACATTTCTTCTTCCTTTTTCATTTTCTTCCTCAAAAATCAAAACTTCCTGGGATGCCTAGGGGGCTCTGTGGTTGAGTGTCTGTCTTTGGCTCAGGGCGTGATCCCGTGATCTGAGATCAAGTCCCACACTGGGCTCCTTGCAAACCTGCTTCTCCCTCTGCCTAGGTCTCTCTGTCTCTCAAGAATGAATAAAATCTTCAAAAAAAATTAAAACTTCCTACTGTCTTCAAAATAAAGCCCAATTTTGAAAAGACTCTCACTGGCACAAAAACTTAATTCTTATACAGAAGAGCCATTCACTTGTCTTGACACCTCTACTTATTTTTTTCTCTGTCCGGGAAGCTTTTTGCCCATTTTTTAGATGTCTAAATTTTATGTTCAAATATTATTTCTCATGTGGATTCTTCACTGCTGGTGTGTCCTTATCCATCCCAAACACTAACTAAAAATCTCTCCCTCCCAGGGTACATCATACTGCTTTCTCGTGGTACTAGGACTTTCTACCGTGAGCCATACTTTTGTTGTTGTTTTGCACAAGAGTTATATTCCCTATAAAACTACTGAGTACTTTAAGGGAGGAGAATCTACATTTCTTTTTCACTATCACGTTGCTACCTTGCAAAGTACCATAAAATAACAACTATTAGAATTATTAGGGATCAAAGTAAAGTGTAATGGTCTTTTCCCTCCTACACAACTCTAACCAATTTACAAAGTCCCTTTGCAAAGAGCAGGAAGAAACGCAAACCCATCTTCCCTGTACCTCCTGCACCTCCACCAAACCTCTCAAACATCAAAAAGGCAACAGCAAAAGAAACATAAACAAAAATCACGTCTTTGATGACTAGAGACTTGTACAATGTTCCTCTCTGCAGTACTCTCTTCCCAATCCTTTACCTGGCTTAACTCCATTAATTACACTGGACTGTAACTTCATGAGGGCAAGAAACTTATTTTATTCAGTTATGTATCTAGGGTTTGAAACTTAGCCTCTCAAAAATATTTATTGAGTGAAGGAGCTAGGTTTTATTTAAAAATCACTTTCTGGGGGCTTCTGTGATCTTTCCAACCGAAACTGGATATTCACAATGCTTTCCCCAAATCCCCAATTTCTCATTCTACATGCTAATCTTTTTTCAAAAAACAGTCCGGAGTTGGGACACCTGGGTGGCTCAGGGGTTGAGCATCTGCCTTTGGCTCAGGTTGTGACCCCGGGGGTCCTGGGATGGAGTCCCCGCATGGGGCTCCGCGCAGGGAGCCTGCTTCTCCCTCTGCCCGTGTCTCTGCCTCTCTCTGTGTGAATATATAAATAAAATCTAAAAAAAAAAAAAAAAAGTCCAGAGTTGACCATCTGCAAGTGCAAGGACACAAGATAAAGGAAACCACCTATTCACACCGAGTGCAATACTAGGGTTGCCATCTCCTACCAGCTCTAGCAAGCTTTTCCCTTTCATGTCTTTGGAAGCTCTTGAAAACCCCCCCTTTAAAAAAAAAAAAAGATAAAAAAAAATCTTTTAAAGCTGCTGCCCGTTTCAATCCTCTACTGAATTCTTGGCCCTGGGTTACACTGATATCTTAGGGGCATGTCTGGAAACGCAGGGGAAGCGGAAAGACCACGACTCCAAACCGACGGGGTGACAAGAGAAGCTGAAAAAAAAAAAAAGGGGGGGGGGGCCGAAGACACTCAGAAAAGGGCTGTCAGTCCTTGGATCAAAGCAGGACACCGGAGGCCTAGCATGGGAGAAGGTCTTCGAGGAGGAAGTCCGAGAGGACAGGCGAGGCGGAGGGAGGGAGCTGCCCAGAGAAGTCGCCAGAACCCTGCGTGGAAGGGCGGACACAGGGCTGCGGGGCCAGTCCCCGGGGCCGTGCCGAGCCGGAGAGCCCCAGCCCGCAGCACTGCAGGAGGAAGCTCAGCACCGCACCCCCCCCCCCGCCCCGCCGCCGCCCCCGCCCCGCCGCCGCCCCGCCCCCGCCCCGCGGAAGGGACAGGGCAGTCAGCCTGGGGCGCGCGGCCGCCCGCCGGTGACGACGCCTCCCCATCAGCAGCGAGGGAACCAAGACCCCACGAAGCTACTCTCCCACCTCGCCCCTCGCGGAGGTCTCGAGCCTCCCAGAGGCGGCTGGGAGCCGGGGAGCTCGTCACAACTCACCGCTCCGCCCCGCTGATCGGTCCGTTCCCGGGGGCCCCTTCCGAACCGCTCCCGGAACTCGCCGGCTCCGACTACGGGGAAACAAAGGTTCCTGCCGCGGCGTGAAGGGGGGAAGTTTTCGGCTGTGCGACGGGAGGAAGTGACGTAGCCCCGGCTTCCGGTCCGCCGGATTATGAATGACGGCGGACGCGGCTGTTTCCAAGACGGCGTGCCTGCTGTTTGTCGCTTCCCGGCCTTTCTGGCCGCCAGCGGTCCGTGGGCGAAGACTCGCAGAAGCTGCCTCGGAAAACTCACGCGGGGTGGGCAGGCGCAGGCGGCTCGTGTCGCTGACACACTCACGCACCCTCCCTGCCTGGCCGCGCCTCTGCGACCAGGTAAAGAGGGAGCTCAGGCTGCGGACTCCGCGGTCCCCCTGACCCCCCCGACACCCCCCCCTCCCCCCCGCGACTGCTCTTTGCATCCGGAGGCGACCCGGCTGGTGCTGCGAGACGGGGATGGGGAGGAGGCGGGGGGTCGGGAAAGGCAAGGGCTTGCAATGAGTGTCCCGACGTTTCTCCAGCGCTGGGGCCCCTCCTGGGCGGTCACAGCCTCTGAGGGAGCTGGTGGAGGGCCCCGGGCCCCTTCTCAGGTTTCCCAGGGCCAAGTCCCCGTGGAGGGGAATAAAGCAGCTTCTCTTTGCAGGAGTCCGTGGAGTCGTTTACCGTTTGCTGCTAAGTGTCGCTTTAAGACCTTTTTGGCACGCTTTAACTTTTTTTGTCCCCCCCCCCCCTCTTTGACACTTATTGTTTTATTTTTTTTTAAATATTTTATTTATTTATTCATGAGAGACACTTAGTGTTTTATTCCGTGCCTTCCCGGGTAGAGAAAGCAGTTGTACGTGAGTACTGCTGAGCAGTTGCTCCAAAGGACGTGCGTTGTTTGCGGCTGTTTTCTTTTACACTGTATCAAAGCAGCGTTTCAGTTCGGTTTCAAACAAGTTCGAGTTTGAGTAGAAAGTTTGACTTGCATGAAACTTGCTTCGGTTTCGGAAACGTTCACTAACGTTTGGACGTTAACTTCCCACCTCGTTTGGAATGAGGTGACTTGTTTTTTTATCCCTTTCTTCTTGAGCCCGGGGTCCCATTTCTTGTCCTAGATTCTTGAATGTTAGCATCTGATAATCTATCTTGTGCTAAGTCA